ATAGAAACTGTCCCACATACGGAAACACAGATCTCATAGTCAGTGGAGTGGGTAGGCTAACTGGTAAATATCTGGGGATGAAGTTAGATCCATTGACCTTTCCCCTAGGAGAGTGTTGTGTTATTCGGAATCGTGCAAAATGGAAACATTTAATTCACATTCATACAATGTATATGACCTTGGGGAAAGGAAGGCCTTTCTTAAAATGATTATAAGGCTAGAAACCAGCAAAAAGCCTACATAGAAGAGTAAAAAATTATCTGTGGCAAAGGACAGGAATATCACTGCACACAGAAAGTGAAAAATGACAAACTGGGAGAAATATCTGCAACATATGAGGAAAAAATTCAGTCTTGATAGCCTTAATATATAAAGAACTTTTCAAAGTAAATAGCGAAAACACATCCCCAATGGAAAACTGAGCAAAGATAAGTTCACAGAAGACACACATGGCCCATCTGAATATCATAAATGTCATGCATGGCATGCAAATTAAAACAGCAAGTCAGTAGCAAAGGTCATCCTGGAAAGAGTCAAAAAAGAAGTGTCCCCCCCCACAATGAATCTTTTCAAGCTTCTGGATCAGGTACCAATGTACAGGAAATACAGAGGTCACAGCAGCACACAGAACATGAGAGAAATATCATTAACAAAATTTTAAACTAAAGTTACCAACTAGTTTTGAAAAATAAACTGTTAGGGGAAAAGATGCAGGGAAACCCCCCACCAGGAGACTTGGGAGCATATCCACTGGCCACAATGTGTGCACCGTGCCTGGGTCCAGATGCAAAAGCTGTAAAAAGCAACGCAAAACAATCTTTTGACAAAGCATGTGAAATCTGCTCAAGGACTAGACATTTCACGACAAAAGGAATTATTGCAAATTTATGTGAAGAATGACGATCATACTGTGGTTATGCTTCCTAAATGTCTTGTGGGACACACATTAAAGTGATCATGGATGAAATAATATCACATCTGGTATTTACTTTCAGAGTAGAGGGGAGATGTAGGTGCAGAGTGGCTGAGCAGGACTAGTCATGAGCTGACTGGCCGCTGCTGGAGGTGGATGAGTTCAAACTACTTAGACATATTAGAAAGATTCCCAGTTAAAAAAAACCCCAAACAACAACAACAAAAAAAAACTCTGCCCGGTGCTAGAGAAGGGACAGGGGAAGAGACATGGTGCTGAGAGCCATAGCCAAGTAGGAATGACGCATGGCAATTTCCTTGTCAGCCTACCCCATGTTGCTTAGAGGGAGGACTCTCCATTGTGGAAATGGGCTTGCCTTGGACCCAGGTCATTTGCAGTGACATTGCATGAATGTTTGAGAAAGGTGACCCTGCTCAAGGACCAGGGCAGATCCGGGTTTAGGGCGGTTCCAGGTTTAAGGTGGATCCTGCTGGGAATAGGGCGTATCCTGCTGCCTCGGGCACCCGCTCTTTGAGTTCCCGTTGAGTTCTCCAGGGATTCAGAGAGTATTTGGTATGCAGAGCCCGGTGGAGTGTGAAAATTTTCCCAGAACGTGCGTGTAGAGTGCCGGTGACAGTTCGGGAATAAAGAGCTGCTGTTTGAATCTTCAAGGCTTTTGTGGTGGCTCGGTTATTTTGTGCCCAGCCAGACTGCGGCAACATGGGTTCTTGGTATCCCCTTTCCAGAGGGCAGAAACCGGAATATACCTTCTAGCAATTCTACTTCTGAAACGCTTTTATGAATATGATTATAAAACTTACAAAATGTGTGTAAGAAGGTTTATAAAGCAGTTTTTGTACTAATAGGTCAACAGATACATCATACAACCTAAAGAGACCTGGGTAAATAAACCATATATTTCCATTCAATGGAATACTATGTAACCATTTTAAATAATATTTATTGACATAAACTATGCTCATGACCCTAACAGTAAAGTCTGTTTGTGGGAATATATGTTAGATGAAAAATTTGTGAGGATGCACCTTAAGATGTTAACTGTTATGGTTCAGATGGGGGGTGTCCCAGGAAAGCTCATGTGAGACAATTCAGGAATTTTCAGAGATGAAATGATGATGAGCTGTGGCCTAGTCAGCAGAGAGATCCACTGATGTGGATTAACTGGGGGTGACCACGGCAGGCGGGGTGAGGGAGAAGGAGGTCGCTGGGGTGTGCTGTGATATTCTGCCCCACTTTGGGCCCAGAACCATGGGGTTAGTGGATCTGGTCTGCACCTCTGAAGACATGAGCCTTCTCCTCCCCTACATTGCTCTTCTCGTGACTTTTGGTCACTGTGACATGAAAGCTGACTAAAACAGTAATGTTAGTTATTTTTCGTAATGAGGTTACAGGAGACTTATTTTTCCTTTTCACTTATCTATAATTTAAACTTTTTCTTTAATAAGTACGGATTTCAGGTACAATGTTTAATGTTTATAAACAAATATGGAAATGAACTTTTAAAAGGAGGCAAGATATTTCAAATGATGTTAATAGGTCTGTCTTTATTAACTTGGCAGGCATTCAAATTTTCTGAAATGATTTTTGTTTTATAATTTGTTGGTTTAGAAGCAGCTATAAACATATTATGTGGAATTATTAAAAGTATACTTTGGTATTTTCAGCCCCTCCACAAACAAAACAATAGTGACAGATTAGAAAGAACAAATTGAAAATTGATCTAATGAAATACAAACAAAAATGCCTATCTGTTTCCTTAGGGTGTGAGAAAAGGTCTTTTTCTTGTCTTTTAACAAGAAAACAGAGAGGAAGTGCTTTAAAGGGATAATCAGATTTCATGCTTGTCATGGGCAGCGTCAAAGCCTAATTTAGCAAAACCCATGCAAGTTCTGCCTGTGAGCCAACCTGCTTTGGTACCTGGGGTGTTGCCAAGTCAGTGTGGCCAGGAGAACGGTCCAGGGTGAGGATCTGCCCTGCCACAGGGATGACCAGGCCACCCCCGCAGGGTGCAGCCTCGTCACCCAGCACCCAGCCTACTGCAACTGGGCAGCCAGGGAGAGACGGCCAGGTGACAGCCTACTCAAAGGTGGGACTTTCCTACTCAAAGGTGAAACCTTCTGCCACCTTTTAAGATGACTTTTGCATATGGTGGTGTGGGAAGGGTTCGGTACATAGCAGCACTTAAGGACCAAAACAGAAGTCCATGTTGGGAGGGCCTGTGCCAGGAGGCCCGTGGTGGACATCGGGGAACAGTATGATGCTTCCCTTTCTGTATTCTCTCTGTTTGTCCACAAGGGCAGGGGTTATTTGCATGAGGGTGAGAAGGCACTTGAACAGGAATCCACCAAGGCCTCACACCTTTTTGGCTGGGGGCCTTAAAGAGAGACGCTGGTTAGGGAGCAGACACTGAGCTTGTGGCTAGGGTGACTCTGGAGCTGGTAAGGTGGGTCAGAGGCCAGGGGCATCTATGACAACCAAGCAGGTAGAGGTGGGCTGGGGGTCGTGCTGCCAGACTGTCAAGCTGCCAGCTTAAGGACAGCATGGCCAACCGGGATCCTGCTGCGAGACAGGCCAGAGTCGGAGGGTTCTGAGGGGGCACCAGTGAAGGGAAGATGGGTGGCAAGACTGGGGTTTCAGAGCATTCTATTTGTGACCTGACCTGCACTGAAAATGCAGACAAAATACAGACGTCACATCCTTCACTGCCTGTCACAGCTCCTCTGTTCAGGGCTCTTTCTACCACCTGAGACATGCAGGCGCTGTAGTAAAACTGGCAGGCCCCCACTTCTGGCTGGCCTCCTGCCCGCTCTGGTCATTTCCATGCTGCCGTACCTTGCAGGACCTTGGGCCCTGTCAGAGGGAAGGCTGCTTTGCATCTGGAGGGCTGTGCAGCAGGGAGCAGCCAGCCCTCTGACTGTGCTCTCATCTTCAAGGCCCAGGACAAATCCTGCGGCTTCCACCCGCACCACACAGATTGGAGAAATCACACAAGGCCCTATGTGTGACCCTGGTCTGCAGATTCTGGCATGGGGGTATCTTCTATGGGGCAGGATGATGCTCAGGGGCTGTTTCATTCATTCATATCAACAGCCAAGGTGATTTCTGTGAGGGCTGGGGATGTGGCTCAAGCGGTAATACACTCGCCTGGCATGCATGGGGCACTGGGTTCGATCCTCAGCACCACATACAAATAAAATAAAAATGTTGTGTCCACCAAAAACTGAAAAAGAAATATTAAACAAAGTTTAAAAAAAAAAAAGGTGATTTCTGTGAGGCTGCATTTGCCAAAATACACAGCCATGGATACAGGGGCATCTCTGTAAGTTTGAGGGAAAAGGAAGAATTTACACACAAAAATAATGTGCCCCCCCCATAAACACCAAGGTATGTATCTCATTTTGAAAAGATAACAAACTACAACTCTTTGAAAACATTTTGCTTAAAGCACAAATCCCAACACCTTTTCCTGCTCTGGCAAGGAGCCATGGTTGTTTGGGCACGGGCTGGTGTTCTCCAAGCTGCTCTCGGCCCTGGCACCTTACTCAGGGTTAATGGCACTGTGTCCTGTGATTCTGGATAATCCAACTGCAAGTGGCACTGCCCTAGTGTCCCTCCACTTCCCCTGGTCCATCTTGGCACCACTGAACTCCCCCCAGGACTGCACAACACATCATTTATGGACTGGGCTCTTCCAAATGTCAGTGCTGAGAACGTCCCTGGCAGGGACCATGGCCTGTGGAATAAAGTGATAGAAACATGGAGTGTTCCAGGGACTCGGGCTCTCCTCCTGCTTTAGAAGGTTTATAAGAACTTGAGATCAATTCTCTAATCCAGTGATTTCTTTAGGAACTTGTCTATCATGCGAACAGGCCATCTTGGGAAGCTTTTAAACCCGGAGAAAATAACACTAGTCTCCACAGTTCGATGATACATCGAAAACCCAAGAGAAAATAAGCAATTTCCATTTTAATATGGAGTGGGTCCTGTCCCTGTTAACTTCAATTGTAGAATTACATAGAATAGATTGGATACTAGCATTTAATAAAATCCACTTCAAGATTATAGAGCATTTTAAATATAAAAAATAAGTCTTTTAATTAAAAAGAGTATGTGAGTAGCCCTGGATACATCTACAAAACAATCCCAAAGTATAAAAGCAAGGCAACATCTGGATATGATTCCCTGAGCCACAGGGCTCCCAAACCTCACAGGGGGGTTGATACAGAACTTTTTTAACTTTTAAATAATTCAACTGATTTCCCTCTCCAGCAAGACACGTTTGAAAGGCAGCTATAGTGAGTCATAACGACTTAGGGGCTCTCTAGAAGTAACGCAGGCTCTGTAGGCTCTTGTGCAGAGGACGCAGGGATTACCTGAACGAGAGGGCAAACAATCCCCCAGCAGAGAGCGCCAGGCTGCTGTTTGAACAGGTGGGCGCCCAAACCCATCTGCAAGGGATTTACATTTGCTGTCACACAGAGGATTCAGAGCCAAAATTGGAATCTTCCCTTTTCCAGTTTGCATCTTCTAACGGTTCTCAGTGTGGTTAAAATGCCCCTGCAAAGATAAAAGAGCACATTGTGCAAATTAAGTGACCTTGGCCAGATCCACACACTTTGGCTCTATGTTCACTGACACAATGCACTAACCCTGGTAAACAATGCCTTAACTTCTGTGGTGACTGTATATTTATAGATGTATTAATAGATATATATAGCAATTAAGATATTTAGAGCACTTCCAATAATGCCTGGCACATGCAATGTTCTCAATAAATATCACACCCCAGTTCTCCAACAGAGTGAAAATGAAAAATCATTTATCTAATCATAAGATAAATTTTTAAAAATGATGTTGCCTTAAATGCTGGATCAGGATTCAAGACCAGAGAAGCAGAGCATGCTCCTTACCAGGGACATCTGAAAGGGGCCCAAGTGCACAGCCACCCTGTCAGGCCCCGCTCTCCCCCTCTGCAGCAGGCCTCCCACCTCTGCACCTTCTCCCACAGGAATAACTGGGAAACCAGATGGCTGGGACGAGCTGGCCAGAGGCTGACCGGCTGCACAGGGAGAGGACTCGGCAGCAGCCAGCGATCTCTGTTGCACTTGGCTGATACGTCAGCACACAGCAGTGTGGCTCCTGGCCCACAGGCAGAGGCAGGCTGGGCATCCCGCCTGCAAGGACTGCCCCAGAATGGTAATGAGCTCCCTGGGCTGGCTGAGGCCCAGGAAGGCTGGGGCAGGTCAGGTGGTGAGGGGCAAATCAGGCCAGTCCACAATGGCACCCATTTCCCAGAAGGCAGGTGCTGCCCTGAGCCCCAGGGGCCTGACAGGAGACTCAGGACTTGCCTGGGAGACTCACAGGTGGCAGCATACCGCTGCACACTGAGGGCTCATTTGGGCAACCAGAACAAAGAGCCAGGGAAGGAAGCTCAGGAGTCCACCTGACTGGGGTGAGGAGGGCTTCACACAGGAGAGGTGTCTCGGATGGGCCATGACAGAGCAAGAGGATCTTACACGGCCAGAGGGCCTCCCAGGCAGCAAGAACAGCACGAGGTTAGAACATTCCAGAACTGGAGAAGCCCTCACAGTGACAAGGGCCAGCAGTGCTAGCACATGACGGGGACAGGACCCATCATGAGGTGCTGAGGCCGTGGTGCATGCATCCCGAGGAGCACAGGTGCTGCATCAACGCCAGGCCAACCACCCCCCCGCCACTCTCACTTCACCAAGGACCTTCGGAGACAAGCTTCTTCCCTGCAGTCCTCGAGTCATTCACAGACCTGTGGCATCGTCCCCTGAGTGGGCAGAGAACACAACACCTCCTGGACTTCTCCACCAGAGGCTCCTCAGCCACAAGGCCCTCAGGGCTGTGAGGATGGGGAGAGGAGGCTGGGAAGTCACACGCAGGTGCACAAGAGGGGAGTGGCAGGAGCCCAGTGCTCTCCTACAGAAGAGCGGGGTCAGGGCCGGGGACGAGGGATGATGCTTTTCACTTAATTTCATCCTCATCACTACCAGGGCTCAAAAAACCATTTTAAAAGGTATTCATTGAGACCTGTCACTCTGGCCCCCGCCCCTGCCTCTTCCTGTCCAAGGAGGAGGACATTTGGAAGACACGCTGGAGGCAGAACGGATGAGACTTGGGGACCAAGACAGCCGCATCCACGTGAGGCCTGATACCTACAGAACCTTTAGAAATCGTTCGTCTAATCTCCCCCGTCTCTGTGGCCTCTTCCCTCTGCTTCACACATGCAGTGTGCTGTTGTCTCTCCAGCATGGGGCCCACAGGGACACCTCCAAGCAGCCTGATGTCCCTGATGGATGTGGGTGGTCCCATGTGGTCTGCAGTCCTGGGGTGCTGGGGCTCCCAGGCGACACACACCAGCCACCAGAGGCGCATCTGATGATGCCTGTCTGAGCACAGGGTCCAGGGAAGTACGGCTCACTCTGCCTTGAGTGGACATTCACTCCAGAGCACAGCACCTTGCTCTGGCTGGCTGGCCTTCCGCAGGGATCTGACAGCAGCCGCAGGAAACATCGCTTTTGGTAAAATGCAATTCCAATGTTTCACCACCGAGCAGGAGAGAAAGGCGCTTTGGGAAGGAGTTTTCATCTGCTTCTGATATGGGGATGAAAGGGCTCAGGTCTGGCTGCTACCAGCCATGTTCCCTGCACAGCCCACCCTCTCTGCTTCCTCAGGGCAAACTTGTGCAGCCTCAAGGTCTCCTTCCTGCTCTGTGGCAATCTCACTGGGTGCTCACCACAATTAACACCCCTTTCAAAGTTCCCACTTTGTGTTCTAGAGACTTGCCTTCATGGGCTCCCCATCCCCAAGGGGCCTGCAGAGCAAGCAGGGCCAAGAGGAGCTCGCCTTACCCCATATGGCACTGTCCCATGAGATACTCATCCCGAGACCCCATCCATGGTAAGTCCAGTTACACTGTGACCTGTGCACACTGGGAAGAGAGGTTTTGCCACATACCATTTTGCCTGTTTGCTAAGGCCATTTTTCATTAATATGCAGACTACTGGCTTTGGGGTTTCCACCTATCCTGAGTAACTATCAATGTGATAAAACAGCAGCATTTATTTGTGAGTTAAAACTGTCCATGATTCCTGCCATTGCCTGAGGAATCATTTCTTTCTTTAATAGCAGATTCGTCTTTACTGCCACAAAACAGGTCTTTCCTCAAAGGCTTGGACGACTTCAAAGGCTACAAAGAAATCTTGGACTTCTAAGATAACCATCCTTATTTTGCTGGCATGAGTCTTTGTATAATGAAATATCTTTATCATACCTACATCTGTCCATGCTAAGTCAGCATGCATTATGCACCTGTCCCATCTTCCTCCCTTCCTTCTTGGAGGGAGTCACTGCTCTAAGACAGCGCGCATGCATCCTTCTATATAAGGAAGTAGATGTATGTGAGAGCAGAATCACTGCAAAGGGATTAGCCACAAAGCTGTAGAAGAAGCCACAAGAGACCACGTAGGCCTAGATCAAAGGGAGAAGAGGAGCAAGCAGTCACCAGATCTGGAAGGAGAATGTGTTATGGATTGCTGGCCCCTTGAAAGAAACAGTGACATTAGCCAAGGCACACATCAAGTACCCTGCCCTCCCTCTCCAATCTTCTGCTGCCTTCCCCTGGAGTCCCCAGTGGCTGGACTCACAGACAAGTCAGAGAGCCCAGCTATCCCACTGATATGGACCACACAGCCTGGCTCCTGAGTAGAAGGCAGAGAACAATGGAAAATGGATCTGGAGAGGAAAACAACAAAGAAATCTCAGTCGTTGAACATACAGGACAGATTTTAAATCGGCTATTTAAGTATGTTCAAAGAACTAAAGGAAACCACAATTAAGAATTAAAGGAAAGCAGAACAACAACGTCTCACAAAATAGAGAAGTATCAATAAAGAGACAGAAGTCTCTGTCTCTCTCTCTCTCTCTCTCTCTCTCTCGCTTGCACGCTCTCTCTCTCTCACTCACACACACACACACACACACACACACCCCAGAAATTCTAGAGTTGAGATATATAATAACTGGGATAAAAAACTTACCAAAGAGAACTTAAGCAGGCAGAAGAAAGAGCCAGTAAACTTGAAGTCAAATAAAATTATCTAGTTTGAGAAACATAAAGAAAACAGAGGGGGCTGGGGTTGTGGCTCAGTGGTAGAGTGCTTGCCTGGCATGTGTGAGGCCCTCTGGGTTCACTCCTCAGCACCACATAAAAATAAATAAAATAAAGGTATTGGGTCTACCTTATTTTATTTAAAAATAAGCTTTATTAAAAAATAAATAAACTTTATTAAAAAACTAAAAAAATTAAAAAAGAAAAAAAAAGAGAAAAAAAAAAAAAAAAAAGAAGAGAGCCTCAGAGCGGTGGAGTGCCATAAAGTGTGCCAACATGTACACAAACAGGGGTCTCGGAGGGAAGAGAGGGGACAGTGCAAAATGATATTTGAATAATGGTTCCAAATTTACCAACTTCATTGAAATGTTTATTTATATATTCATGACAATGAATTGTAACTAACTTGGGCTGAGGTTATGGCTCAGCAGTAGAGCGCTCGCCTAGCACAGGCGGGACCTGGGTTCGAGCCTCAGCACCACATGAAAATAGACATTGTGTCCATCTACACTTAAAAAATAAATATTAAAAAAATAAAATAAAAATAAATAAAATAAAAACTGATGTGTGTTAAAAAAATGAATTGTAACTAGAATAAACCAAAAGGCATTCATAATTAGCACATCATAATAAAATTATCAAAAATCAAAGAATCTTGAAAGCAGAAAGAGAGAAATAACATATCACGTACAAGTGATCCTCAATAACATTAACAGCCAATTTCTCACCAGAAATCATGGAAGCCAGAGGCAATAAGATGACATAGTTCTGAAGCACTGAAAACCTGTCAGCTAAGAATTCTATACCCAACAAAACTATCCTTTAAAAATGAAACAGAATTAAGACATTCTTAGGCAAACAAAACCAGAAAACATACCACTAGTAAAATTGTAGAAATACTTAAGGGAGTCCATAAAAGGACATTAGGTAGTAACTCATGTCCACTTGAAGAAATAATATGAATGAGATTCTTCTACTTGATTATCACCAGAGAATACGTTTTTGCATGTGCATCTTCTATTCAACAACCCTGCTGAATATATTAGTTCTAATAATTCATCTGTACATTTTCTTGGATATTTTATGTAGATAATCATATCATCTGGAAATAACAATTTAGATTTTTCCCCCTTATTTCTTTTTTCTTGTCTTATTGTGTTAGCTAGGAACCTTGGTATATAGAGCAGAAGTAATGACAACAAGCATCTTCTCTTTTTCTCTCCCAACAATGGCAATATTGCAATAAGTACCTTGTTCCTCAACCTTTACCAGGATAAACTCTTCTACTTATGGTTGCTAAGTTGTTGTGTTGTAGCTGCCATTCTGACTGGAGTGAGATGAAATCTTCAAGTAGTTTTTATTTGCATTTCTCTAATTGCTAGAGATGTTGAACTTTTTTTTTTTTTATATTTGTTGATTG